GACATTGTTAGATTGTGGCTTATCCGTACATTGGACAACTTCTTGGAAAAAAAGAAAAAAAAATAACTACTATTACACCAAAGCATGGGTGAATCTCAAAAATATTATGCTGCGAGAAGCCAGATACGAAAATACACATATCTTCTATCCAATTTATATGAAAATCCCAAAATGACTATCTGGCTATGTATAGTTCCAGAAGACAAATCAACGGTTGTTCAGGACCAAGACCAAGGGTGTGTGTGTGTGTGTGTGTGTGTGTGTGTGTATTTTCCAAGAGTGGAATGGTGAGGTTGGTGAGAGATTGACTAAGAAAAAGGAAAAAAGAATCTTTTTTTTTTTTAAAGATTTTATTTATTTATTAATGAGAGACAGAGAGAGAGAGAGAGAGGCAGAGGGAGAAGCAGGCTCCCAAGGAGCAAGGAGCCCAATGCGGGACTCAACCCCAGGACCCCAAGATCACAACCCGAGCCGAAGGCAGACACTCAACCATCTGAGCCACCCAGGTGCCCAAAAAAAAGAATCTTCTTAAGTAATGGATATATTCTATACCTGGATTGTGGTGGTTACATATAATATCATTAAACTACAATATTATAAGTGGATCTGATGATATATAAATTATAAGTCAATAAAAAAGATTGATTTAAAAAATCAATAGATTTTTACTTGTTTTCAGTAAGTAGGCATTGTCACAATTTCAGAAATGGAGTATCAATTTTTTTTCATTTCTTTTACTATGTATGATACTATTTCCTGATTTAGCTATTTCAAACCTTATTTATGAATCTTACACCATGGTAAATTCTCCCATACAGCCACTCCCTTTATTCCCCCTTTATCTCAACAGAACTATAATTTTAAAAATGAAATGAACAGCGTTTACACTATTTATGACCATGCAAGTATTGTTCAATGCTACAAAATAGTGTATTATAATCACCATTTCTTTCTTACACAGTGTGTTTTTCCTCCTGTTAATTGCCTTTCACTTTCATTAGCCTGGTTTTCCATGTATCTAAGAATTATTTTTCCCTAAAAGCTCTATTATTTCTGCCACAGATCCATCAATGATACTCTGCATAAAGTCAAACACATCATTCCTTTTACTTTCCTGGAGACTATCCTTCCTGAGTCTTCCAACCTCCTGCTCCAATCTGGACCTATTGACTTCTAGACAACTTCAAAGCAGTTATGTTGGAAATTTCCTTCCCTGCTCTCCTGTATAAATTCCATGCCTTTTTCATTCTTGTTTTACTCACTAGTTCTGCTGGAGTTCATCATCTGGCTGCCTCCCTCTTGAGCTTCTTGGGAGGCTCTTTGCCTCTTCTACAGATATTTATAGATTACAACTTTCTTCCCTTTGTTGTGTCAACATCCCAGACATCTTTATTTCTCACAAAATATTCATTGAAATAGCTTGTCTATTGTTTTCTCTCCCTTTCTTCTCAAGGGTTAATAATTTTAAAAATGTTTTCACTGTCACCTCACCAAGGTTTTGGGAGAGAAGAGAGAAACCTGTGTTTAATTAATCATCATAAACTCTGGCATTGCATTGGAAACAAAGGACATATCCTTGATTTTAACAAAGGAGAGAAAATTAGTACATGTAGTCGATTTGGTGCTGTGAAGATGAAGGGATTCACATCCATGGGCTTTAGTTTTATCAGTAAAATATGAGCCTAGGTCCTCAGCTGAGAGTGATGATGAAGGCCTGTAGGTAGAAGGCTTTTGGAGAGAAGAAAATTTATCACACTGAATAGGAATTACAGCAATCAGAGAAACATGTTATGGGCTTATTTATGACCCCCAAATACATATGTTGGAGTCCTAACCCCCAGTACCTCAAAATGTTATCGTATTTGGAGTTAAGGTCTTTAAAGAGGTGTTAAATGAGGCTATGAAGGTGGGCCCTAATCTAATATGGCTGGTGTCCTTATATGAAGAGGAAATTTAGACACACAGACTGATACCAGACATGTGTAAGCACAGCATGACAAATGTGAAGACACAGCAAGGCAGCCATCTGCAAGCAAAGGGAAAAGGGATGGAACAGATCTTTCCTATGGCCCTCGGAGAAAACCAACTTGCCAACACCTTGATCTCAAAACACCCAGCTTCCAAGTACTGTGAAAAAATAAATGTTCAGGCCATTGTTAATTTTGTTCTGGCAGCTCTAGTAAACTAATTCACATGGTAAGGTTGCTGGGCAGTGTTGAGTTCCAATATGGGGTTTGTGGTCATTTAAGCAGAACTTAGAGAGCTTTAAACAGAAACTAATAATCCTAATTAAGTGATTTTCTCCAGCAATATTCAGCAGTTAAGCTGGTTCTCAACAAAAGGCAAATGGTCGGGTTCATCCAGGAGATTTTCCAGGGAATACACTGGAGAGGCAAAGCACTGAAGGTGTATGTATAATCCTGATTAAATCATAAAGTACCCTTCACTTAGGGACCCAAAGCAGAAAATTAGGGGTTATACAAATGGTCACAAACTTCTGTTAATTCTCTTAACCTCCTTCTACCCCCACCATCCAAATTTCAATACATAACTGGATTATTTTAATAGCCACCACGTCTTTCTATTCCTAGTCATTTCTTCTTTCAAGCCATTCTCCACAATGCTTCCCATTATTTAACCAAACATTTTTGACAGCTCCCCATTACTTATAGCATAAAAACCAAACTACTTAAAGTGTCATACAAGAACTTTCACAATCTGGTCACTGCCTCCACCTTGCCTCATTGTCTATCACTTCTCTTCCCCACTCACAAATACCCTATATGGCAACTAAACTACTGGCAATTCCATGACTAATCATTAGACTGTTACTTCTACCTTTACTTCCTACCAGGCAAACTAAGAATTTGTTCAAAGATCACCTCTTCTGAAGTTAGTTTCCTGTCTCTTCAGGTAAGGTTGACAAATGACCATTTCCCTGGATTCTTATTATACCTTAATACTTATATCCATGAAGTCGATCTCATGCTATACTACTTACACTGTGCCTTTTATCCAGTAAGACAGTAAACTCCTTGAGCTTAATGATCAATAGCACCAGGATCTCATGACAGATCTTCCATAAATATTTGCAAAGTGAACAACTGGATGACACACAGAGCTGTAGCTGTATTACAGATAGAAAGGAGTGACTGTTCATAATGTACAGGTTGGCACATATTTTATTACAATATAATCAGCTGGGTGGCAATGAACTCTGTTGTTGATAAAAAAGATTATGATGGCTATGGTGGTAACAGTTGTAGAGTTTCAAGGAGAAAAGTCAACTGTTTCAACAGTATTGCTTTGGCCAAGAAGTGATTTAAATCAAAGCTATAGCAGCTAGTGTACTACATTAAAATGAATATGGTTTTTAGATAAACCTAGTCCTGAATTCTACCTTTATTGTTAGCTGTGTGAACATGGGAATGTTGCTGACATTTCTGAGCTTCAGTTTCTAACCCGTACAGTGGGGATAAAATACCTCTCTTCTCATGAACTGCCTTCTATTTCTTCAGACTCAAGATTTTAGAATCTTTTTCCTTCTCTAAGATTCAAGGTAACCATTGCTTTTTCAAACTCCAGTCAGTTTCTGAGTCACATGAGTATCAAAGCAACATAGTTACAGTTTTAAGCAGGTCCCCTGAGCCCCCTTCCTTCACCTTTCTCCTAAACAGCATCAGCTGTCACCATTTCCAGATATGAAAATAAAAGGTCAAACTAAATTGCTCATATGAATCAGAGACATTTCTGTAAATGACAAAAAGCATTCAAGTATTTATACACCACTAAGAATGACATATTAATAACAGTTCAGCTTGGTTAAGCATTCAACTATCATGTGGCAGGTACTTTTCAGGTGCAATCAATCAAAAAAGAAAAAAAAAACTAGTATGTCCACCAAAGCCTATACATCCCAATGGCAGATATTTAAATGTAAATCACGAATCATTCATATTAATGAAGGTAACAGTCAATGTTGGCAAATGAGATTGGCACTCTCATACATTGATCTTGCTTTTCTATAATCTTTCTGGAAAGCGACTAGCAATATGCATCACGATCTTTAAATGTTAAGTTTTTAGCTCTAAATTCTATTTATCCATATACTCAATATATGTTTCATCTCTGGGTAATGGGATTGAGTTATTTTTCTTCTATGTGTTTTGAAAATGTTCTATTAAATATATACATAGCAGTTACGATTTCTAGATTATACAGAAACTGAAATCCAAGTCTCATTCATTATTGGGTATGATTTTGGACAAGTTTCTTAAATATTTCCTCACATGTAAAATAGCCCAAGGTGATAGGATTACTATTTTTGGTAACACCTGTAAAGTGCTTGACTATTACATTCTGAAAAAGGTTTGAAAAAACAAACATCTTCAACTGGTGGACTGTAAGGTTCATTATTACATCCCAGAAAGGTTTTTAAAAAATTTTATTTTTAAAGATTTATTTATTTGAGGTGGGGGTAGGGGCAGAGGGAGAGAGAATCTTAAGTGGATTCCCCCCAGAGCATGGAGCCCTATGCAGGGCTAGATCTCACCACCCTGAGATCACCATCTCAGGGGAAACCAAGTTAGACTGGCTTAACCGATTGCGCCACCCAGGTACCTCAAAAGAGGTTTTTAAAATACAACTTCATGTGGCAGTTCTGATGAGTACCTTTTACTTTATTTAAATGTCTTTTAGTAGCAATCCCAGGAGAAAATGCTATTTGTAGGAGTATGTGTAACTGAAAAAAAAAATTTTTTTTAATTATGTTTAGGCAATTATTCTTTTGAAGAAAGGTAAGCCCCCATCAAGTATCTCATACTTAAGCACAGATTCCAAACCACAGTTTGTAGCTTTTTTGGAAGTTTTCATCCAAAATACATTTTATAACCTCTGTGACCTAGGAAATCTCTTGTATCTTCCCATCAGGGTAACGGAAAAGGAAACAACATGACAGACTGGACTAGACAGGACTATGAAGTATTAAAGAGTTTGGAGCCCCAGATATTCTATATGCAGACCACTACACTCATGCCTGCTGTTCAATAAGGCTGGTCCAAATGCTCATTTTTCTCCCCAGAAGTTACAGTTTTTCGGTTCCAGAATCGGGTCAAGAGGTGGCAGCCCTGTGATCTGTCCAAGTGAAAGGTGGTGGTTACGGGTTAGGACCACTTCTTGGTGACATTGAGATGGTCGAGCTGGTCTACCACAAATCTGTCGGGGGGGAACTTGGACATGCTGGCCGCCTTGATGGCCTCGAAGGCCGCCGCCCTGCGCTCCGCGGCGTGGCCGTACTCCTGCTCCGCGGTAAGATAGGGCATGCTCAGCCAGTAATGGTTCTCCGCCTCTATCTCCAGGCGACGGATCATACTCTGCTTCGCGTGGAAAGACACGGTCCGCGGCCGCCGGTGCTTCCCAATCCACTGTCTGCCAGGAAGGCGATTGCGGCGGAGGAGGGCGGTCAGGAACATGGTATCTGCTGAGACAGGGCAGAAGTCGCTCAAGAACTGTTCGGCCGCAGGAAGAAGCAAACGCGAGCACGCGCAACACGGTTCTCTTGCCACTCGGCCATCCCCAAGAACGCACACCGCACCCCAAATGAAGCGGGGAGCCCAACCAAGCGCGACAGGGAAAAGAAGAGGACTCATGAAACAACGAAATATGCCCAGCAACTCACCGACCGCGTTCCTCAAGACACCCCACACACTCCGCACGCCAGCGGACACGACCCCGGAAGTGCGCGCGTCCCTCGGAACCTCCTTGCCTCTTCCCGCGAGACTTCAGTTCTCGCGAGAGAGGACTTGTGCGACGCCGCGGAGCCAGGGACGCTTCTGGCGCAAAGAGATTCAAACTGGTGGCGGGCGTAGCTGGAGCAGTGGAATCTCCTTGCGTGTAGTGTACTGCGGGGGAGCCCTTACCCATGGATCTGATCCGAAGCTTCCACGCGAAGCTACGGTCTCTGGCCATCACCCTAGACAGCGAGACGGCTCGGCTGCAGCTAGCGCTGGACGGAGAGGAGAGCGGTGAGTGAAGCGGGCGGGCGTTGTGGCGGATCGCGGCTACTACGACCCGCCCGGCCGCCCTCAGCCAGGCAGGAGTGCGGCCTGTCAGAAGCTTGTTTTAACAAGTAAAAACCACGCACTTGAAGAAAGGTTATTTGTCTACAGTGGTGAGGAGTGCTTCGAAAGAGATACGGAATGGGGGTGGTACACCTATCAAAGTGCTGGCTGTTTGTCGTTAGCAGTCCCGAAGTGACAAGTGCCACCTATTTCATTATTCTTATGCCCCCTCAAGTATGTTGTGGCTGTTTTCAGTTCTATGTACGACCACATTTGCTCTCCTCAAATAATGAAATAGCTCTATTACTGTGTTGCAAAGAGAAGCAGCATAGAATAAGAATGTAAATTGACAGATTGAACTCATAATGCATACAATAATTTATACATAATATGCTTTCAAGTCACATATAATGGGTATTTATCAATAAAAATACAATATAATTAAAATTAAACAAAATGCAGCAGGGTTCTTTACATGCATAGTGACTTTGTCTCACCCAAATGGTCCACAGTTGCAGGAAATGCCTGTTTTTCCCAGCAAACAGTATTGCCAACACAAACACTGGTACTCAATACTGCTTGCTTGCTTGCTTGCTTTTTTCTTTCTTTCTTTCTTTCTTCTTTTTTTTTAAGTAATCTCTATACCCAATGTGGGGCTCGAACTCACAACACAGAGACCGAGAGTTGCCTGCTCTTGCGACTGAGCCAGCCAGGCACCCCTGAATACTGCTCTTTAAAAAAAATAAATATAGCACAATTCGTCACCACTAATCTTTATATTAGAAATTTTTTAAAAAAATTGTTTCAAGGGGCGGCTGGGTGGCTCAGATGGTTGAGCGTCTGCCTTCGGCTCAGGTCATGATCCCAGGGTCCTGGGATCGAGCCCCACATCGGGCTCCTGGCTCAGAGGGGAGCCTGCTTCTCCCTCTCCCTCTGCCTCTCTCCCTGCTCGTGTTCTCTCTCTCTCTGTATCTCTTTGTCTCAGATGAATAGATAAAATCTTAAAAAAAAATAAATTGTTTCAAGAGTAGTTCAGATTTTGAGATTATTTTGTTCATAATGGTAATTTGCCTTAAAATATGGTGCCCCGTAGACACAGCCTCCTTTAGTTTAGTTATATTATGAATAGTGTTCCAGCCATTTAAAAACATTTATTCTTTTGATTGTAAAACAATACATGTACATGGCAAAAAATTTGAGGTATGAAAAAGTAGAAAGAGGAAAACAAATATTTCCTATAACTCAACCATTCAAAGACACCACTATTAGTATTTTATTATTTTGTGTTTGTCTTCTCTCTCTCTCTCTCTTTTTCTTTTTTTTTTGTGAGCTCTAGGCCTAATATTGGGGCTTGAACTCATGACCCTGAGATCAAGAGTCATATACTCAAGGGACTGAGCCAACTAGATGCCTCTTTGGATTCTTGATATATAGCTGAATTGCTTTCCATGAAGCTTGTGCTAATTTACCTTCTTACCAGCATATTAACTGTTTACACAAATTTTTCATTTTCTTCATTTGCAGCCAATATGTATTACAGAAAATATGGAATTGTGATAGAGAAAATGATCACCAAAAAATCTCACCTTTTATGATTACAGTGATGAATCAGCAGGGAGTCTGCTGGGGATTCTCTCTCTCCCTCTGCTCCTTGCCCCTGTGTGCGCATACTCTCTCTCAAATAAATAAATCTTTAAAGGAATAAAGGCTACAATTCAATGGTTTTTGATAAATCCAGAGTTGTGCAACCATTATAGTAAGTTTAGGTTTTCATCACCCTCAAAAGAAACCCTCGTGACTGTTAATATCCACTCCCCATAATCCCACCCCCAACTACCACACTAGCCTTATGCAACCACTAATCTATTTTTGTCTGTATAAATTTGCCTATTCTGGATATTTCAGATAAAACGAATCATACAATTTGTAGGCTTTTGTGATTGACTTATTTTAGCATAATGTTGCAAGGTTCATTCATGTCATAAGCATGTATCAGTACTTCATTCCATTTTATTGCTGAATAATATTCCATTGTATGGATATACCACATTGTGTTTATTCATCAGTTGATGAACATTTGGGTTGTTTCCACTTTTTAGTCATTATGAATGTATGTAAACATTTGTGGGTGAGTTTTTGGGTGAACATAATGTTTTCAGTTCTCTTTGGTATGCTCTTAGAATTTCTGGGTCATATGATAACCCTATTTTTAACTTTTTGAAGAGCTGCCAAATTGTTTTCCAAAGTGGATGCACCATTGTACATTTCCACCAGCAATGAATGAAGGTTGTAGTTTCTCCACATCCTCATCATTTATTATTTGTCTTTTTGAATATAGTCATTCTAGTGGGTATGAACTATCACTGTTTTGTTGACTTGCACTTCCCAAATGAAAATTGGTCAGCTTTTAACAAGTGAAAGGAGATCTTCAAAGGAGGCATGTTTTAGAAAGAAAAATATTATTTAAAAAACTGCTTTTACATGATGTATATTACACATATTGCAACTGATAGTAAGGAAAGTGACAGTACGATGAGTGAAGGTCATATGAAGGTTCAATAAATGGTGCCAGGTCAGTTGGACACTCATATGGAAAATAAGAATGGATCTTGATCCTTACCTCTTGCCATATAAAAAAATCAATTCCAGGTAGATTGTAGCTCTAAATGCACAAGGCAAACAGTAAAGCACTTAGAAGAAAATGTAAGTGTTGTCATTGGCAAAGATTTTAAAACTAGGAACCAGAAGGTGCTCACCATAAAAAAATTGCTAAGTCAGATTACATTTTCTCCTTCTCCCTGCCTTCCCTTCTTTCCTTCTTGATCTGAGTATTGATTATGTAGGGTATGTTCACTTTCAAAGTGCAAGAAGCTATATACTTATGACTTTTGTACTTTTCTGTATGTATGTTATTTCATAATTTTTTTTTTTGTAATTGACAAGAAATAAATTCTGAATAAATATCGACAAGGATTTTATAATTCTAAGAAACAACACTAAATTATATTTTCTGTTCTTTTTCCTCCTCCTTATTGCACTTTTTCCTTTCTCTATTCATATTGAAGACTGGGAAGATTACCCAATGAGAATTTTATATGACCTTCATTCAGAAGTCCAGACTCTAAAGGTATCACTTCTACAATATTAATATATAATCTTTGTGTCATAATTTTTAAAATCTAAATAGACTTAGTCAAAAGATAAAGAAATTATAATGTACTTTTTTTCCTTATAAAAGGATGATGTCAGTATTCTTCTTGATCAAGCAAGTTTGGAAAGTCAAGAAAGCATTGGTTTCATAAAGGCAACAAAAGTACTGATGAAAAAAAATTCAGTGGATATCATGAAAATAAGAGAGTTTTTCCAGAAGTATGGATATAATCCACGTGCCAAGAAAGATTCAGGTGTGAACAACTTGTATTTTACAGTATTTGTTTTAGTATTAAAGAAGGAAGGCAGCATGATTAAATATGACTACTCTGGGCTTGGCCATGGTTTCTGGTTCTGGCTCTGCCATTATGTGACTGTCATGCGTGATCATCATTTATTCATCAAACACTGTGCTAGATGCGGTGCTGATTGGTGGTGTAAAAAAAAGACAGTCCTTGCTTTCCACAAGATATAAATCTACATGATTTTAGGATAGTTGGTTTCTAGTCTGCTCTGCCAATAAATAGCTGAGAGATTAATCTTAAAGCATGCTATTTCCTTTTTCTTCTTCTCAATTTTCTCTTACTGTAGAATGAGAAATTTGGGGCATTATAAATTGATAAAGGCCTTTTTAAGTTCTACAGTTTTAATGAAGGTTAGTATAGCATGGTGGTTTAGAATTTAGAGCCAGACTATCTGAATGCAAATCTCTAATTACACCATTTATTAGCTGTATTATCTTTGACCAGTTACTTAACATTGTACTTCAGTGTCTCATCTGTAAAGTGGAGATGTTTGTATCTACCTCTGAGGTTGTAGAAGGATTAAATGAGATAAAATTTGTTTAGAACAGTACCTGGCATGTTAATCACCCAGTGTTAACTACAGTTAGGCCCGTACCTGTGAGTGACTGATTTCAGTATGCTTCATTGTCTTTGTTTCTGTGAAGAGAATGATCTTTGTACATAAGTAAACCATTAATTAAATTCAACAAATGCATATTGAGGATATGTGTGGAGGGTAAATTAAACAGTCTGCATGGTACTATGGAAAGAATTCAGTTGACTTTATTGTGAACAAGCTATGGATTCAAGTACTGGCTCTACCAGTTACTACATGTGCATGACTTTGGATAATTTCTCTGAATTGCTTTTTCCTAACTTGCAAAATGGGAATGATAATACCTCCCTATGAGGCGGTGATATGGTGATGATTTTATTAATCTCATCAGTGATAGCCTTGTGATAAATACAAGAATAGATTTTTGGTAGCCTTTATAACATTTCTCCAAATTAACAGAAAGCACAATGCCTAAACAGAACTCAATGAATCAGCAGCTCTTCCAAGGGCCAAAAGCCATGAAACCAAAGTCTAACTTTTTTTTTTCTTTGTATGGTACATACTCCATATTTAACACGTCCTGGTTTATCATGTATGCAAAAATAGTACCCTATCCTAATTTATTTCCTGTTGCCAGTCAAAACAAAGAAAATACTACCTTTAAAGAAAACATGTGCTCCTCTTCACTTCCTCCAATCTTTTGGAGCTCTTAGCTGGCCCAGGAAATGTACAGCCTAAATTTATCCCTTTCCTATTCCTTCGGATCCAGAAGATTTTGGCAGGGATCTATACCAATGTCTGATAGCCCCATTTTAACTATAGACCTTCCTTTAAAAGATGAAGTGAAGAGAAACAAAAAAGGTCTTTATCAGACTTACAAAAATATATCCCAGTTCGTAACAAGAGAAGTACAAATACTTTCTTCTTAAAAAGAATGCAACAAACAAATTTTGGAGAAACTTTTTCCCATTTCTTTCAATATGTGCAATTGTTACAATTCATATTTCCAATTTGGCAACCAAATGGTATCTATTCAAGGTCATCTAAAACAGATCTTTGTATTAACTCCCTCCTTCCTTATTCTTAAACAAATGGTAGTGTTTGGAATCAAAGGATGTGGGTTCCCAAGTCTTGGCTCTTTAAATTTTAATCAGCTGAATGTTTTCCAAAATGTTGTTTGGTACCTTTATCTATAAAAACAAGGGAAAAATATCCTAAGATATGTCATGCTTGAAACAGTTAATACGAAAATTAAATGGAGAAACATTCAAATGCTTGTCCCAGGGGGGGAGTTCTAAACACATTTTCATTTGTCTTCCTTCATCTCACCCTTTCCATTTTCTCTTCCTTTCTGGTACCCTTTCTAATTACTGGTTCGTTTTTCTTCTCCACTGCATGCTACACATTTTACATCTGTCCTTCTGCATTTTCTTACACCCATTCCATTCTCCATACCTTTTATAAAGATTTTATTTATTTATTTGACAGAGAGATATAGGGAGAGAGGGAACACAAACAGAGGGAGTAGGAGAGGGAGAAGTAGGCTTCCTGCTGAGCAGGGAGCCCGATGCGGGGCTGGATCCCAGGACCCTGGGATCATGACCTGAGCTGAAGGCAGACGCTTAACAACTGAGCCACCCAGGCACCCTTCCATTCTCCATACCTTGTTATCTCACTGAAGCCCTGTCATTTATTAAGCTAATCTCTGCCCATATCCTGGCCAAATCCACATGTCTTCTTTCTGGTTATCCTCTTTGACTTTCTGTTGTCTCGCACTAAAAGCTAGTATTTCTCCTTCTTAAACTCTTTGTTGGCATCATAGTGCTATCCCGGACCTTTTAACTGCAACTTGGGTCCCACACCAAATTCATTAACCATTAATGTATGCAGGAAATGGCAAAAGATTGTGGGGAAAAGCATAGTTGTTATTCAATTATTTAGTCGGAAGTGCTCAGTGTGGTGGTTAGGCATATGGGGTCTGGAGCCAGATATAACCTACTCAGGGTTGAGAAACTATAGGTCTTTCTAATGCTCTCCTGTTATTTTCCTCAACCAGGCTTTTGATACAGGTGTTCCAGACTGAGGATAAAAATTTATCTTGGTGTAACAGTCTTTCCTTTTTAACTTAGGCATCTGCAAATGAAAAATCTAAAATAATATTATACTTTGTGTTAAGTCTAGATCATAGTTAATTCCACCCTGTGCTTAATGTCATAAAATGGTAAAATCATTCTACAATGTATTAAGAGAGTTGGGTAAATCACAGTAACTGAGGAAGTAAGGATATTTGACTTTTATTTGCATTGATTTTTCATCTTTTAACATTTAAGTTTACTTCTTAAATGTGTCATCGAAATGGGATATGGCTACACAAGAGGTACATGTCAGGAATTTCGTAAAGGGACAATTGAAATAAAACTTTAGAGACTAAGGACGGAATCAGGACTTTTGCTGATTTGGGACATTTCAGATGGAGCTGTTTTGTATGGTTTTAGTACATGAGATTTTGTGGTTTGATGTTTCACCAAAATATGACCTCCTTGGTTCTTCCTCACAGTGGATGAACAAGAAATCATTGACTCTGAATCAGAGTCCACTAAGCATGAAAATTTTCAAATGCCTGATACGAAGGACAATCTGTCTGATCCTGCTGTTCCGAGCACTTCTGGTTCTGAGAAGTCTCCACGGAGTCCACAACTTTCCGATTTTGGACTTGAGCGATACATGATATCCCAAGTTCCAGCAAACCCTCCACAGGCAGTAAATGACCATGAAGAAGAGCCAAAAAATTTAACTCCATCTTCTAAACAGTCACTAGTTAAAGTACTAAAAACTCCAAAATGTGCTCTAAAGATGGATGATTTTGAGTGTGTAACTCCTAAATTAGAACACTTCGGTATCTCTGACTGTACTGCATGTTTAAATGAAGATTACACAATGGGACTTAAAAATATGAAGGAGAATAAATGGTAAGCCACTTTCATAAAAGGCACATTTTATCAAACTTTCTAAATGTTTTGTATGTATTGATTTTTCCTAGAAGAGATATGACATTTCAGACAGTAACTTTCCTTCGAATGGTTTTCAGATACTTCACATTTCAAACTTCCCGAATCAGCAATTCTGTGAATAAAGTGTGAGCTCTTGGATTTCTGGTTAGATGCTGTAGGAGTAATACAGGACTGATAGAGTTTGGTGTTTGGTGGGATAGAGAAAGGGTAGAGTCGGTAAGAACCTGTGAATGATTTTGCATGGAGATGTGGGGAGACAAGACTTGGGGATCCAGGATAAATCAAAGACTTCTGTTTTGTTACCTGTAATGATGCATGGGAAAACAATGAAGACAGGAAAACCTGCAGCTTGGGTTAAAGGTGAATGCGCTTCCATGTTGATTTAGAGGTCCCAGTAGAGGTGTTCTTGGGTGTAGGTATATTAATATGAATTGGGAGCTCAGTGACCAGTTTTTGTGCAGTGAATAGTGTGGAAGTGATACTTAAAGAGTTATAATGAAAATGAAAATACCCTATATTAAAGCAGCCAAGCAAGAGCTAAAGATAAATCCATATCTTTAAGAACTGTAATTATTAAAGAAGGCAAATAAACATTCAACTTAAGGAGTCAAGTAAAAACCCACAATTGTGGGACAAAGAGAAGGGAGTAAACACCGAAGATAAAATAAAATGTCATTATAAAAGATTTTTAGGAGAGTAGAGTTGATAAATCTAAGAACTGGTTCTTACTTAAACGTAAATGCAAATGACAAAATTAGGAACAAAAGGCTATATTTATTATTTTTAAAGCTATTAGAAATACGATAGGGCATAGTATTGGGAAATTTGGAAAGTTCAGATAAATGAAAATTTTTTGAAAATAATACACAGTTATTAAAATCAGCTTGAAGTAGAAAACCTGTATAGACAATTGTATTGTGGGTCCCAGCACCTCACCTGGACTCTTCAGATTCATAAAACCTCTGTTTTCCATTTCCTCACTAGTAAAATGTGTATAATCATACCATCCTGCTTACCACACAGAGTCAGTGGAGTATAATGGATAACAAAGTTATAAATTGCCTTAAGAATGAGATGCTATGAAAATAATGACCTTTAAAAAGAACTGTCATTATCAGGGGTCTATAAACTACTGCCATAGGCCAAATCCAGCCTGCTACCTATTTTTGGTAAATAAAGTTTTACTGGAGCATAGACTAAAAAAAGTTCTTTTTCTAATAGAATAAGCCAGAGAAACGCTGTAGTTTAGTTTATGAGATTGACATACCCTTGATACAAACACTGACAGTACACAGAAAGAAACTAGAGCCGATCTAATTTATGAACATGGATGTAAAATCCCAGTTAAAATACTCACAAATTTAAATTTAACAGAATATTAAAAGTATAGTGGACAACTTTCGAGTTAAGCTTATCGTAGGAATGCAAAGGTAGTTTAATACTTGGAAACTCATAAAATACATGATTTTAATGACTTTATAAAAGAAAGGATAATCTCAATAGATACCAGTAAGGAATTTGATAAAATTTGACACTCATTCATCATTTAAAATGCTTGGTCAAACTCGAAATAGACTACTTCATTAACATGATAAACTATGGATATCTCACTTAATAATGAAGCTATCTTGATGGTTTTGAAACCATGAGCTATATAATTCCTATATTTGAACTAATGAGTTAAGCGTATGGCTTACCCTTAAGTCAGAGTTTCTTAACCTGCTTCTAAGTCACACTTGTCAATACAAAGTGGTGTATAACCTTTTTTGAGCCATGGATATACATTAATTTAAAAAAAAAGATTAGTTCCATGGGACTTCTGTTCCATAAAACAGAACTGAATGTTTGTCCAGACTTGATGATATATAGTAAGATTGAATTTTTTTCCTAGAGGTTCAATATTAACTTTTTTAATCTTACAATTTCCCTATAAATTACACCAGTGAAGAGGCCATAGAACCAGAACCAATGACCAGTGATAATTTCTTTACCACTCCTGGCCTCCAGCAGTTGAAAAAAAATGGTAAGTGTAAAAATCACATTACTTCTCAGCTATTCTCTTTCTAGATTATCTTTGTACAAAAATGGTTCTGTCATCTTAGACATTCTCCTAGCCTCCCTGCATCTTTTCAGTTCATAACATTGAATTATATAAAGTACCATCCCATCCAGGTGCAGCATAATTTCATACTAGAGAAAGATATAACTCTCTGGAATGTTTTTCATATTTTTTCTGATTATAGTCAATATCTGTCAGCTTGTTGTTTTTAGCATTTTAACGTAAAACATAAATATTCAGTCACCAAACTTTTGATACAGAGCCAATAAGTACCTTTTTTTTTTTTAAAAGATTTATTTATTTATTTTAGAGGGGGAGGGGCAATGGAAGAGGGAGAGAGAAACTTAAGTAGACTCTGAGCAGCAGAGTTCAGAGCCAGATTTGGGGCTTGATCTCACAACCCTGAGATCACGATCCCAAGATTATGACCTGAGCCAAAACCAAGAGTCTGATGCTTAAGTGACTATGCCATCCAGGTGCCCCCAGTAGTACCTTTTTAAAATATAGCATCAGCTATTGATTAGAATTCGACATTATTTTTCTTACATAAACCATACTCAGAATACATTAGCTACCATTTCAAATTCTGTTTTTTTAAAATACTACAAGACCTTAAAGAAAATTTTCATGGAGTATTTTTATATTTGTCCCACCAAACATGAAAACATTAGTTTTCACAAAAATATAAAAAATTCTAGAGTTTGTGATTTTTTTTTAAATATTTTTTTAAAGATTTTATTTATTTATTCATGAGAGAGAGAGAGAGAGGCAGAGGGAGAAGCAGGCTCCCAAGGAGCAGGGAGCCCGATGCGGGACT